CACCGGGTCCGAAAGGGTTAACGGGAGAGTCAGTCACACACCACATCTGAACGAATCGGGCTCTGTGGAAAAGTGCAAAGTATTGCTAAAAAGCTCGTGGTCGCCCGTTTAAGTACTGGCATTGAGAAGACCCTTAACGAGTTTCCGTCCTAAGTATTATCATGCGTTTACTCTGGGCCCTAAATCCACAAAAATGAGCGGCGTTTCAACGGTGGAAGTATCGCCGGCCCAACCCATAACTTGAACTGAGTGACCTAATCCTCAAATACAGCTTTTACGTTGTCTGCTGTTGTTTGAGAGCTGAAAAAGCGCTGTCGTTCTGGCAGGTTTTGATTTATTTTCAATACCCTCTCGTGAATTGGATATCTTTGATGTGCCACCAAGAATTGTTCTGAAAAATCACGGCATCTTCTAAGTTGAGTAATTCTCATGTGTAAAGCTTGGTCCCAATTACAAACGTGAAACCCCAAGCGTTTCGATCCTCTGCATCGAAGTCCTACTGGTAATTAATTTCCGAGCCATGTTTCTGATGTTTCTCTTAAACAATCAACAAATTTTTTCTTGGAACCCGTCTGTTCACTTTCGCGTCGAGAGCGTCGGCCTTTCGCTTCTAGAACGATCTTCTATTCTTCTAACCTACCCAAGTTGAGGATTCGATAGGGGGCGAATTGGATAGCAGTAAGCAAGGTCCCAGTAATTTTCCTAATCTGTCTCCGAAGAAAACCATTCCAGGAACAGCGTCGCAATCGCAGATGTTTCTGATTTAAATGCACTTGAATTTAAACGTATTTCCTACAGAAGGATTTGTTGACAGCAGAATTTGACATTGGAGAGATTAACTTGAAAGCGAAAACCAACCAAGTTAGAATATTACAGTTAGGCTCAAAGACTTTTGGGACAACCCTTTGGTACTTCTAATCGTGTTGTAATACTTAACTTATTCTTTCACAACGAATGCAAAATATATAATTAAGCAGATATAATTGCTTGAACTTTGTGAGCGCAGATGTTTATTGTAGCACAACTCGAAGTTTTGTTTATGCTCATTTTACCTGCTGTGCAAAAGCTAAGCTTTTGATACCTAATGTTCTTTCCGCCTTCCTCGATCTCTGCATAAAGGCCATCTTTTTGCTTTGTCACCATCTCTTTCAATTGGCAAGCCTCAAGAGCTACCCAAATGTCGCTATCGGCGAACTGATTGAAGGGATCGACATTGAATCGAAGAGTGGAAGAAAATAGGACTGGGTCCTGTAACGCTTCATTTTATCTAGTGGCAACAAAATTACTATATTTAGTCTAGTACCTGTGGAATAATTGTAATTCTTGATCTGAGCTCGTGTAAACCCAGTTCTGCGATGTTCACACCGTCTATGAACACATCACCCTCAGTTTTCTCTACTAACCGAAGCAAGCCTTTGGCGATAGATGATTTACCTGAAAAGTTTTGGAATTATGAAAGTTATGGCAGAGCGGCACTTACCGGACCCGGTGCGTCCCACTATGGCAACCTTTTCGCCACCTTTGATCGTAAAAGTAGCATTTCTAACAGCACAATTTTTATCTTGTCCATAACGAACACTGAATCCGCGAAACTCTATTTCGCCTTCATATGGCCACGCATCAATGAGAGGATAGTCTGATGTCCACGGCGCCTTAATTGTGATAGTTGCTACGTGAAAGATATAAAAAGTAGCAAAAGTTCACCTCTTGTTTTATTTCATGGTACTCTTTGATACGCTCAACGGCTACGATGTTTGCTTCACTGAGAGCCATCATCCGTACGGAAAAATTTAGCAGATCAGTCAACTGTAAGAAAGCAGGAGTCCGTTGGAAATAATCAAATACAGAAATGTGAGATACAGTTATTTATTTATTTATTTATTTACAATGGTGCTCCAAAACTGAAAACAACAAAGTGTTGTTATAGTGTTATTGTTTGTTTCTTACACGTCTAGCTTGTGACTTCTCCAACTTTGGGTAAAATGAGCCTCACTTCGCCTTTACTTCGAAGTTCTGTGTAGTTGATCGAGATAACTACCTCAGACAAATTATTACCACTCATTTATAATTACCTTCGAAGGAAATATCTAGATATCATTAGGTCGATACATATTCCACGCTTGCTCCTTATTCTAAAGCCGTAGAGAAAAAAA